TTTTAAAAAATTTTTTTTTTTTTTTTTAAAGATGAGGTTTCACCATGTTGGTCAGGCTGGTCTTGAACTCCTGACCTCAGGTGATCTGCCCACCTTGGCCTCCAAAGTGCTTGGATTACAGGTGTGAGCCACCACTCCCGGCCAAGGTCACCTATTCTACTGGGGAGAGAATGTGATGAGGAAGGACTATTTAAAGTTAATCTTTGTCTTTGATCTTAGATAGTATGTTTGCCCTGTAGGTTATAGGTGGTATAGAGGTGGGGAGGTATAGGATGGAGACTGGCTGTAAATTAAACACTGGGTCAGTAATTAAAGCTGTTGGAGATATATAATTAGGTCAGCAGTCAAATTTCTGCTTGATTTAATAATACTCTTAAAGTACTTTGAAGTCTGTTATAGTTTTTTTTTTTTTTTTTTTTTTTTTTTGGATTTAGAATGCTTTTCTGGAATTATTTATACAGAGCCAATATTTTATGTAATTCACTGTACCAAGAGAAAACAGTAGGTGTTAACAAATGTATACAGAGCTATATATTTGCAGGTCATAATTTTAAGATACTGTTGCCAAAGCCAACTTGAGGATTTGAAAAAATCACCATAAACTCAGAAGGTTGCCAGAAATAAATAACTTACCTACAAAATTTTATTATAGCATTATTGAGTATAGTGATATAGTAAATTTATGTAAAAGTTTGACCCTCCACAAGAGAGCCGCATTTGTAGCTAGCATATCAAAGTGTGATTGGCTTAGTTTTTGGTCTGGGTTGCATTAGGTGAGCGTCTTCTGAATCCAAGAATGGTTTGTTTATTTATGATTTATTTTATATTTTATTTTTTGAGACAGAGTCTCCCCATGTTGCCCAAGCTGGTCTTGAATGTCAGGCCTCAAGTGATCCTCCCATCTCAGCCTCCCAAAGTGCAGGGATTACATGCATGAGCATTCATTGATGACTGATTGGTTGATTGAGACAGGATCTCACTCTATTGCCCAGGCTGGAGTGCAGTGGTGTGATCACGGCTCACTGTGGCCTCAATCTTCTGGGATCAAGAGATCCTCCTACCTCAGACTCCTGAGTAGCTGGGACTATAGGCATGTACCAACATTTCTGGTTAATGTTTTAATTTCATTTTATTTTTAGAGATAGAATATGTTGCCCAGACTGGTCTTGAACTCCTGGCCTCATGCTATCCTTCTACCTTGACCTCCCAGTGTGCTGGCATTACAGGTGTGAGCCACCACACCTGTCCAGATTATTTATTAAAAGCATGTAGAAATACCACTGAATTAACTGTATTTGTCTTTGAGGCCAACATTATTCATTTGGCCAATACTCATGAATATGAGTGTGGAATACTCATATGAATTATTATTATTATTATTCGAGATGGAGTTTTGCTCTTGTTGCCCAGGCTGGAGTGAAATGGCGTGAGCTCGGCTCACTGCAACCTCCGCCTCCCTGGCTCAAGCGATTCTCCTGCCTCCGCCTCCTGAGTAGCTGGGACTACAGTTGCGTGCCACCACACCCAGATAATTTTTGCATTTTTAGTAGAGACGGGGTTTCACCATGTTGACCAGGATGTTCTCGATCTCCTGACCTCGTGATCCGCCTGCCTCGGCCTCCCAAAGTGCTGGGATTACAGGCGTAATCTGCACCCAGCCTCATATGAATTATTAGATTAAATGTTGGCACTAGTGCTCTCATAGTAGGGACCCGCATTGTGAGATTTGATATTTACATGACCAGAAGAATTGTTCATTAACATATGTGGAAAATAAATATAGTTACAACCCTAGATTGCATTTGTTGATGTTGACCTAGAGAGGATGTGATGCCGTTTAAAATAGCAAAAGAGACTGTTGGACCAGTTAGCATGATTGATAAAGGCATTAATATGATTCTTGATGGGTTATTATTATCTAGATTATTTTCCTAGTGGTTTATAACATTGTGAATTTTACAGTCCAAAAAAAAATTGCCAAGACTTAACTTTTTGTTTAGCTTATGTTTTTACCATGTTTTCCTAAAACACTGGGCAAGCAAAGTACCTGGGATGTAGTCACCCTAACTCAATACGTGGTAGTTGAACACATGGATGGATAATCAAACAACAAAAACGTCGTGAAGGTATAATTTCAGGATAAAGGAAAGCCTTTAAGTGGAATATATTTAGTTTTAGCAAAAACTAAATCCATTGTCTTTAATGTTTCAATTTCCTCATGCCCCAGCAAACCCTTCATGACCTACCATGAGCTCACAGATTGGTTTCGGGGGAACTGCTGCACAGACTGGCGGTTAACTAGTTCAAAGGTAGCTCTCCTCTGCACACACTCCTCATCCCTCTGGCTGTTCTCTCTGGATGATTCACTTCCAGCTATTTCTTGAGCACCCACTCTGAGCCAAAAAAATAGCCTCACCAACATGGTGAAACCCCATCTCTACTAAAAATAGAAAAGTTAGCCGGGTGTGGTAGCGCATGCCTGCAATCCCAGCTACTCAGGAGGCTGAGGCAGGAGAATCTCTTGAACCCAGGAGGTGGAGGTTGCAGTAAGCTGAGATTGCACAACTGCACTCTAGCCTGGGCGACAGAGCAAGACTCCATCTCAAAAATAATAAATAAATAAAAATAAAAAATAAAAAAAAAGAAAAACAAATAGCAATCTAGGATTCAAGAATGACAGAATTAAGACACAATCTGTGCCCTCAAGCAGAGTGATTTAGTTTGGGGAGAGATACGCTCCCTCCTCCCCCCATAAAAACATTATGCTAAAATACAGTAAGTATCAAGAAAAATTACCTATCACCAGGCACGTGGATGACTGAAGGAAAGTAAACTCTATGACGGGAGTGAGGGTTGGAGAGGATGACATTTTACCATAACTTTATTTTCTAACCCCCTGCAACCTATGATTTGTATGGCTTTGTAAGCATGCAGCCCATATTACTTTGGCCTCAGAAACTGTAGCTATGTGATGTTGAGCAAGTTACTCAATCACCTTGAGTCTTATTCTTCATTATAAAATGAAGATTTCTTTTGGATTTCTTCCAGTCATTTGCCAAAATTATGAACACAGAGAGAAAGAGGAGAGGCACCTGATATATGTTCTCCAGGCCTTTTGGAAAACATGGAGTTGGCTGGGCTCAGTGGCTCATGCCTGTAACCCCAGCACTTTGGGAGGCTGAGGTGGGCGGATCACTTGAGGCCAGGAATTCAAGACCAGCCTGGCTAATGTGGCAAAACTCCATCTCTATTAAAAACACAAAAATTAGCTGGGCATGATGGTGCACATCTGTAATCCCAGCTATGTGGGAGACTGAGATGGGAGGATCGCTTGAGCCTGGGAGGCAGAGGTTGCAGTGAGCCAAGATCATGCCACTGCACTCCGGCTTGGGTGACAGAGTGAGGCCCCATATCAAAAAAGAAAAGAAAACATGGAGTTGTTCTTTGGCTGCCTACATGTGAATCTATAAGAAAGGTGGAAAAATAAAATGAAGCTGGTAGCAGTATCTACCTACAGAGCGATTGTGGGAACAATATTATAATAACACTTGTGAAGGCTTAATACAGTGGTATATAGTAAGTGAATTCTATTATTATTACGGCTAAACTTGAGCGGAATGGGATCGAGGTGGCACTCTTTTTTTGTTTTGAGTTTTTGTTGTTGTTTGTTTGTTTGTTTTTTGAGACAGTCTCACTCTGTCGCTTAGGCTGGAGTTCAGTGGTGCGATCTCGGGCTCACTGCAACCTCTGCCTCCTGGGTTCAAGCAGTTCTTGTGCCTCAGCCTCTCGAGTAGCTGAGATTACAGGCATGTGCTACCACATCTGGCTAATTTTAGTATTTTTAGTAGAGACAGGGTTTTACCGTGTTGGCCAGGCTGGTCTCAAACTTCTGACCTCAGGTGAGCCACCTGCCTTGGCTTCCCAAAGTGCTGGGATTACAGGTGTGAGCCACCGAGCCCGGCCCTAGAGATGTCACTCCTAACGTCTGATGGTAGGGGAGGTTGTGAGAGTGGAGACACAAGGACTATGACAACCCAAATGAAAAATGGCCAAGGATCTAGATAGGGTCTTTCTCCAAAGAATGAATATAAGTGGATAATAAGCATACGAAAACATGGTCAACATCGTTAGCCATCCAAGAACTGCACATCAAAACCACAATAAGATACCACTTCACACCCTCTAGGGTAAGGTGTAGTAATAATAATAAAAAGACCGACAGTGGCAAGTATTGGTTGGGATTTGGAGAACCTGGAACCTCTTTCCTGGTGGTAGGATTATAAACTGGAGCAACCACTTTGGGGAACAGTCTGTCAGGTTCTCAAATGCCCAAATATTAGAGTGACCATGTGATCCTGCCATTTGCACTCCAAGCTATATGCTGAAGAGAAATGAAAATGTAGGTCTACACAAAAACTTGTCCAAGCTACTCACGAGGCTGAGGCAGGAGAATCACTTGGACCCGGGAGGCGGAGGTTACAGTGAGCCAAGATTGCACCACTGCACTACAGCCTGGGTGACAGAGTGAGACTCCATCTCAAAAAACAAACAAACAAGCAAACAAATTGAGATGTGTTGCTATGGGACAATCTCTCTGCTGCGCTTTGGGGACATGGGAATAAGTGAAGCCATGATCACTGCCCCAAAGAGCTTAGAGTTTAGAGGGAAAGACAGAGAAGGGGGCAGACAATGAGGGTACAGTGTTATTGGTGCTTTGCTGGAAGCAACACAGGAGTCAGGAGAACACTAGGAAGAATAGAACCCAGATTGGGAGCAAGGTCAGGCAAAGCTCCCCAGAGGATTTGGTTAGCAGATTCTTAAAGTGCATGCCACGTGGAAAGAACTCGGGACTGTGGGTGGATAGATGGCAGCTCATGAGGCATCTATGGAGCAGAAGTCTTTCTTGAGAGTGTTATCCCTGTTGCCTGGAGTACTTTGGCTGTAGCACTCAGTGGCCAGGATGTCAGGTAGTCCTCATTGGCTGTCTTTTTTCTCCTCAGTGTCCAACAAGCACCCATTTGTGGACAGCAATCTTCTCTACCAGTTCAGAATGAACTTCCGGCGGAGGCGAAGACTGATGGAGCTGCTCAGTGAAAAATCCCCCTCCTCCCAGGAAACTCATGACAGCCCCTTCTGCCTGAGGAAGCAGAGCCATGACAATCGGAAATCTACCAGCTTTATGTCAGGTATGCCATCCCAGGGTTTATTGGAGCTCATGTGTTTGTCTTTTGAGAAATAATAGAGCCACGACTCACCTTTGTGAAATTCTGTCTCTATCACAGAGTAGAATTTTTACTTATTCATAACCAAGAAGTATGAAAAAAATTCCAGAACCCTAAGTTTTTCTTGGGCCACCAACGTAGATGCCAGGATTTAGAAAACTGTGTACATGAATTATTGAAGACCTCTCAGGCTCTCACTCATACCTTATTTACTTTTCATTTACAAACCATTCTTGTCTGGCACGGTGGCATACACCTGTAATCTCAGCTATCTGGGAGGCTGAGGCAGGAGGATCACTTGAGGTCAGGAGTTTGAGACTAGGCTGGGCCATATAGCAAGACTTCATAAGTCCAAAAAATTTAAAAATAAATAAATATAATACAAATGTTTTTTACGTATCATTTGATTATTCAGTTTTGTAAATCACAACTTTGAAAAGCTATCTATTTTAAAGATGAATGAGAAGATTACTTCTGTGGTCATTGACACCAATAACAACGAAAAAGTGACTGGTTATCTACCCGTTATCGAGGTGACAGAGAACAAAGAAGAGCAATGAAAAGCTGATACAAGTCTCACAAAGCCTAGCAGCCGGTGGTGTTACAGTTTAAGCAGACAGTCTCAGCTGTGCAGTTAGCCCTGAGGGAAACGATGGCGATTGGATGTAAGGGTGATCTGGCTGTGACAACTGTCACTTCATTGATCGTCAGGAGATCTGGCTGGCTGGGAGGGAAAGAAAAGGAAAAGGAAAAGAAAAATGTAATTAATTAATTAACTTATTTTTTTATTGAGATGGAATTTCTCTCTTGTTGCCCAGGCTGGAGTGCAATGGTACGATCTCGGCTCTCGGCAAACTCCGCCTCCCGGGTACAAGCGATTCTCCTGCCTCAGCCACCTGGTTAGCTGGGATTACAGGCATCTGCCACCACGCCCAGCTAATCTTATATTTTTAGTAGAGATGGGGTTTCTTCGTATTAGTCAGGCTGGTCTTGAACTCTCGACCTCAGGCGATCTGCCTGCCTCAGCCTCCCAAAGCGCTGAGATTATAGGCGTGATCCACCGCGCCTGGCCACCACTATATGTATTGAGGATGAGTGTGGTGGCTCATGCCTATAATCCCAGCACTTTGGAAGGCCAAGGCAGGAGGATCACCTGAGGTCAAGAGTTTGAGACCAACCTTCCCAACAAGGTGAAACCTTGTCTTTACTAAAAATACAAAAATTAGCCAGATGTGGTGGCAGGTGCCTGTAATCTCAGCTACTCAGGAGGCTGAGGCAGGAGAATCAGTTGAACCCAGAAGGCAGAGGTTACAGTGAGCCAAGATCTCGCCACTGCACTCCAGCCTGGGTGACAGAGCGAGACTGTGTCTCAAAACAAAACAAAATAAAACAAAACAACTACATGTATTGAGACATTTCTGTGCCCCAGGCCCTGAGCCAAGCTTGGTTATATGAATTTTCTCATTTAATTCTTACTGTAACCCTAAGAGAAAGGACCTTTCTTCTATTTACAGGTGAAGAGACTAAGGCACAGAGCAATTGAGTGGCTTATGCAAAGTTAGGAAGTGATGGGCAGGGCTCAGTCTACCAGCTGTAACTAACACCAGTTTAGTTCCTACTAGTTTTGTTTTACGCCAATGCTTCTAATATGCTGCCACCTCCCTGACCCCACACAACCTAGGTTCCTCAGACACACCAGCTGGAGGAGAGAAAGAAGCATGAGCTTCTGTGGAAAAAGGAAGGCTACTGCCGGGCGCGGTGGCTCAAGCCTGTAATCCCAGCACTTTGGGAGGCCGAGGCGGGTGGATCACGAGGTCAAGAGATCGAGACCATCCTGGTCAACATGGCGAAACCCCGTCTCTACTAAAAATACAAAACATTAGCTGGGCATGGTGGCGCATGCCTGTAATCCCAGCTACTCAGGAGGTTGAGGCAGGAGAATTGCCTGAACCCAGGAGGCGGAGGTTGCGGTGACCAGAGATCGCGCTATTGCACTCCAGCCTGGGTAACGAGTGAAACTCCATCTCAAAAAAAAAAAAAAAAAAAGAAAGGCTGGCTGAGGGTCAGGAGTCTAATCCTGTGCTCTCAGGCCAACCTGGTTAGGCCAAGAGGATACCCCAGATGTACGTCTCCTTAACTTTGCAAACCTCTGCAGAGTAATTTTACTTTCTCACGAGGAAGGGTTTGCCTGTTTCTTGAGTGGGCCCAATAGACCTGAACAAGTGATAAGGATGAGTAGAAGGATCTCGTAACCATGGTAACCTGTATTAGTCCTTTCTCTAAATGGTAAAAAGGAATACCTGAGATCAAGTAATTTTTTAGGTTAGTGCAAAAGTATTTGTGGTTTTTGCCGTGAAAAGTAATGGCAAAATGGCAAAAAGTAATGGGGCACAGAAATGTCATATGGTTGTAAGTGGTCTCATTATCACTGTCTATTCAGTCCACCAGCTTCCGCTAACATCAGTTTAGCTCCCATGAAGCTATGCACCCAAGCTTTGTTCAGTACCTGGGGCATAGGAATTAATTTAATTTGTTTTATTTTATTATTTTTCTTGAGATGGAATTTCACTCTTGTTGCCCAGGCTAGAGTGCAATGGTGCGATCTTGGCTCACCACAACCTCTGCCTCCTGGGTTCAAGCGATCCCAAGAGGTGTCTCAGCCTCCCGAGTAGGTGGGATTACAGGCATATGCCACCATGCCCGGCTAGGTTTTGTTTTATTAATAGAGACAGGGCTTCTCCATGTTGGCCAGGCTGGTCTCAAACTCCTAACCTCAAAATATCCACCCACTTCAGCCCCCAAAGTGCTGGGAATACAGGCATGAGCCACCAGGCCTGGCCAGAAATCAATTTTAATGGCAAAAACTGTGATGATTTTTGCACCAACACAATATAAAGACAATTAGTTTAATTGGTTCATGGTTCTGTAGGCAATACAGGAAGGGTGGTGGCATCTGCTTTTAGGGAGACCTCAGGAAGCTTCCAATCATGGTGGAAGGTGAAGGGGAGCAGGGGTGGCAGGGGTTGGGGGTAGAGGTGCCACATACTTTGAAATAATCAGATCTCACAAGAACTCACTATCATGAGGAGTTATGATGTAACAGTGTAATGGGGATGGCACTAAACCATTCATGAGAATCCACCCCTATGATCCAATCACCTTCCACCGGGCCCCACTTCCAACATTGGGGATTACCTTGCCACATGAGATTTAGGTGAGGACGTATATTCACACCATTCATGACCATAAACACCAGCATTTATTTTGTGCTTTCCATGTGCCAGACTGCCCATGGTTTCTTTCATTCAGTCATATACTTGCTGAGAGCCAGCCTACACCATGACAGAGAACCAAATCAGAAAATTAAAGACACTGCCTCACATACATGCTCAAAGCCTGAATGTGTACATTAATGTGTTTTTTTTTTTCCCCAAGACAGAGTCTTGCTCTGTCATCCAGGCTGGAGTGCAGTGGCTTAGTCTGGGCTCACTGCAATCACTGCCTCCTGGATTCAAGCAATTCTCCTGCCTCAGCCTCCCAAGTAGCTGGGATTATAGGCACTTGCCACCATGCCTGGCTAATTTTTGTATTTTTAGTAGAGTCAGGGTTTCACCACGTTGGCCAGGCTGGTCTCGAACTCCTGACCTCGTAATCTGCCCACTCCTACCTCCCAAAGCGCTGGCATTACAGGCATAAGCCACTGGGCCCGTCCTGATTAATGGTTTTATTTGAAATCAGAAGGCATTTATTATACTCTTGATTCATCCCATGTAGCTAACACGTCATTAACATCCCAGCAGGGACTGCTCAACATGGATGTGGTAGTCCTTGAAATAGTATCATCCTTTCTCAAACATGATATAACCCACACCTTGCACCAATCCTGTAAGACAGCATTGTTCTCTCTTTACAATCAGGGACATAGAGGCTTAGAGAGCTTCCCTGAGGTTACTCAAGTTGTGCTGTAAATGACAGAGCTGGCCAGGCACAGTGGCTCATGCTTATAATCCTAATTCTTTGGGAGGCTGAGGCAGGTAGATCACTTGAGGCCAGGAATTCGAGACCAGCCTGGCCAACATGGTGAAACACAATCTCTATTAAAAGTACAAAAATTAGCCAGGCGTGGTGGCAGGTGTCTATGGTGCCAGCTACTCGGGAGGCCGAGGCAGGAGAATCGCATGAGCCTGGGAGGCAGAGGTTGCAGTGAGCCCAGATTGTGTCACTGTACACCAGTCTGTGCAATAGGGTGAGACTCCATCTCAAAAAAAACCAAAATAATATAAAGTAAGTGGCAGAGCTGCAACTCAAGTGCTTGCTTTTCTGCCACTAAGAGCAGCATGCTTTTTCCTGGCCTCCTTGGACCTTGTAGTTGAAAGCCTATGTGCTCTAGTGAGGTGAGACCGCCCCCTTGGTGACTGTGTGTGTTCTCTGGTACACAGTGAGCCCCAGCAAGGAGATCAAGATCGTGTCTGCAGTGAGGAGGAGCAGCATGAGCAGCTGCGGCAGCAGCGGGTACTTCAGCAGCAGCCCCACCCTCAGCAGCAGCCCCCCTGTGCTCTGCAACCCCAAGTCTGGTGAGTGCCCAAAAGGTGGCCCCGCTCCTGACTCCGGCTGTGGGGACTTGGGCAAGTCCCTGGGAAGTGGAATCTAAGATAGAGGGAGACTAGTATGTGGGCTCGAAGAAGTTAGAGCATGCTCTCGGGGTCCGCACGAGTTGAATGGAAGGGAAGGAAGAATTGGGCTGAAGGAGAAATTGGGTTGTAGCCCAGTCTGCGTGAAGACTATCATTGACCCAGTGGGACCTCTGGAGCTGGGATGGCCCTTCCAAGTTGACTGGAGTTGTGTTGAGGGGGCTGGGCCTTTGGATCCACATGTTGACCAGTTATTAGGTATCGGTGGCCTCTGGGAGGAGGCCATGACCTTGGGCAAAGCAGCTGTCTTCAGAGAGATGGTCCCTAAGACAGCTGAAGGCTGTCTCCATTAGCACTCCCAGAGCTGGGAGGAGTCCCTGAGCCCTGAAGGCGGCTTTGGGCAGTGTGTGACAGTGTTCACTACGGCAGGAGAAATAGCACTTCCCCAGAATGCGGCAGATGCAAAGATCTGTCGTGGCCTAGCAGCCTTAAGGAAGACGCCTGGATCTCTGCAAACCCAACCATCCCTGGAACTGACCCTGGGTGCCCTGTAGTTTCAAAATCTGCTCATCAACCCCCATGGCCTTTATATTCCAGGAAAAATATCTAGGCACAAAGATTGTTAGTGAACACGTACTTAGAAACAGTCCTTCTTCCACCCAGTCAGTTCATCAAACCCCCAGGAACTGGTAATCATTGAAACTGCCCTTTCTCACCACCCCTTACTAACCTCGTGTCCGCACTGCCCTCCTTGTCAGGATGAGGATGTGTGGTCCATCCCTACAGTAACCACCAGAAAACACTCTCAAACCTATTTGTTTAGTGCACTGCCCACCCCCAGTTCAGTTTGTCACCTTTGAGGAAGAGGCTCTGTTCCTTTAGTTCAGGTTGCTTCCTCACCATCAGATCTTGGGGGTACAAAGATGACAGGTCATCACCCCCAACTCAATGAATACACTACCTCTTTGGAGAAAAAAAAGATTTCATGTTAGTAAGAATAAGGACTAATTGATGCTGTTCAAAAGGCTTTGAGAGAAAACTCTGTCATCTAATGCTGTTATCTAGGAAGGTGGTTATTTTTCCTGATCTAACTCTTTTCTTTTTTTGCGGCCTTCTGGAAAGTTAGCATCAGGAATAAAGTTGTAACCTGTAAGTGAATGAAGAAACTTGCTTCTACTCTGTCCTGACTGAATAGTCGTTGAGTATTTGGTTTTTCAATTACTGGAGCTTGCTGATTAAGTAGAATGAAAAAGGAGAACTGAATTCTTAGAAATGGGATGTTTGAAGCCCTCATAGAAATCTGACAGGCGGCCGGGTGCAGTGGCTCACACCTATAATCCCAGCACTTTGGGAGGCCGAGGCGGGTAGATCACCTGAGGTCAAGAGATCGAGACCATCCTGGTCAACAAAGTGAAACCCCGTCTCTACTAAAAATACAAAAAATAGCTGGGCATGGTGGTGTGTGCCTGTTGTCCCAGCTACTCAGGAGGCTGAGGCAGGAGAATTGCTTGAACCCAGGAGGTGGAGGTTGCAGTGAGCCGAGATTGCACGACTGCACTCCAGTCTGGGTAACAACAGCGAAACTTCGTCTCAAAAAAAAGAAAGAAAGAGAGAAAGAAATCTGACAGGCATCCTCAAAGTTCAAAGCAAAATATCTCAGTTTCAAACAAGGGTCAGTGGTGCCATCACCATTTTACATGTTTTTCATTGCATATGAGAGAATATGAAAACAGTGTTAATTACTGAAATTAGCAACAAAATCCATGTTCCGTGAGGTAGGTTAGTAGTGTTTCCTCTTTCTCCTTGCCTCTGGGTCAAAGGGGAAAGTTTACTGTTATGCAGGCAGAAGAGAAAGGTCTTGTTTCCTTTCTTGGGTTTCTAAGAATAAGAGCTGTCAGGACTGAGTTGTGGTTTGTAAATCCCACTTCTTACCCATAGTTTGACAAGCTTCTCTCTCGAGAGGGTTCCCAAGACCCATGAGCTCATCTGTGTTTTTTTATTCTCAAGCAGATGATCAAGACTTCATGGTGAGGCATTTAAAAATTAATTATCTCTCAGGAGGTTGGAAAAGAAAAAATTAAAAAAAAAATTAATTATCCTATATGTAACAGCATATGTTTTTTAGTACTATATATAAATGCCCTAAGCCAGATACACACACACAAAAACAGTTCTAAAGGTATTGATGTAATCAGTATCATTGTGATAAGCAATAAGTTTCCAAGGATATGAAAAGAGACCATCCTGGCCAACATGGTGAAACTCCGTCTCTACTAAAAATACAAAAATTAGCTGGGCATGGTGGCGCGCGCCTGTAGTCTGAGCTACTTCGGAGGCTGAGGCAGGAGAATCACTTGAACCCAGGAAGCAGAGGTTGCAGCGAACTGAGATCATGCCACTGCACTCCAGAATGAGACTCCGTCTCAAAAAAAGAAAAGAGAATGTTTTCCCTGGGCCTCAATGTTTTTTTTTTTCAATAAAATAAAGAGGAGAAGTGCATTAAAAGTAGTGATTAGCACCTCTGCCAAATAGAACAGTGTGATTCCTGTATCCAAATTCATAAGCCCCCTGGGGGGTTATGGGGAGTGGGAAGAGAGTTATTTGACAGGGAATAAAAAGATTTTGATCCTCAAATATTGACCAGTTTTCTTATCTCCAATCCATCTACTGAGAGAGTCTATTTCCATTTTGATATCTGACCGACTCCCTCTTGATTGGCGAACATGTTTTCCCTTTTATGAGATTTCTGAAAGCAAAGGCGATAAGATCAGCCACCTGTCACCTCAACAAGAAGCACTGGATTGCCTTTCACTGAGAGGGTGCTTGTCAGGCCAGAAGGCCGAGCACGTAACCAGAGGGCAAGGCCCAGCTGCCTGGTGGGTCATCAGGCCCCGCCCCACGCCGCCTTTCCTTGTCTGCCACAACCTGGTTCCAGGACTGCACCTGACCTCTGACTGCCACTAGCAAAGGGGATCGGAGGGTGACACTTCAGCAGGTCAGGTCCCTTGGCTGAGGCCTTTTCTATTTCTCTGTGGCACTTCAAGTTCATGACGTCTACAGAGCTGAATTAAAATGGTCCCTGTTCCCCGATCCCCTGGCTACTTGAGGAAGGTACGGCAGCGCCTCTCCAATTCTTAGTGAGAACAGGGTGGATGGGGAGGTTCATTGTCAGTGGATTTTAGGCAGCCATAAGTGAGGAATTGGCTGCTGTCTGCCATCTTGGTAGGCACAGCAGTGAGCTGATGTGAAGAGAGGTCTTAGGAGGACTGCATGCCACTATCTTCCTGAGCTTCTAGATCCTTCCTTTTGCTTGCAGGACAGCGTGGCACAGGAGCAAGTGTGGCACAGTAGCTGAGAGTGTGGGCACTGGCGTTTAACGCCTGAGCTTCTTTCCTCTTCTGCCACACCCATTAGTTCTGGTACTTTGGACATAATCAATTTAACTTTTTCTGAGGTGGTTTTTGCAGTTATAAAATGGGGTAACAATGATCCTAACTCATTCATTCTTGTAACGATTATGTGAGTTAATATATTCACAGCACTTTGCATGGTGCCTCTCTAGCACATGTCGAGTACTCAGAAAAGGTCACTAGCGTTATTACATAGGGCAGAAAGCAGTGTGTACAGGCGGTCCTAGGTGTTAAGAAGGAAATGAATGAAGCTTTAGTGTGTGGGATGGGTGCAGGACGTTGGACGAAGAGGGTCTTAACTTTGACATATATAAATTCATTTCAGGAGTTAAAGAAATGTGAGAATCAGAAGACATACCTTTTTGTTTTCCTTATTGAAACAATTCAGGCTGGGCACGGTGGCTCATGCCTGTGATCCCAGAACTTTGGGAGGCTGAGGCAGGCAGATCGCCTGAGGTCACGAGTTCGAGACCAGCCTGACCAACATGGTGAAACCTTGTCTCTACTAAAAATACAAAAATTAGCTAAGTGTGGTGGTGTGTGCCTATAATCCCAGCTACTCAGACATGTGAGGCAGGAGAATTGCTTGAACCCAGGAGGCAGAGGTTGCAGTGAGCTGAGATTGTGTCATTGCACTCCAGCCTGGGCAACAAGAGCAAAATTCTGTCTCAAAATATATATATAAATATATATATATATTTGACCTTTCCCTTTATCCCCCGTCCCTGGCACACTTGCTTTTCTTCCCTTTCTTTTTTTTCCTTAGCTTTGTAAGGTAGGTTTAGGGTTATTTATGTTCGCTGCTATTTTCTGTCTCCACTCAGCTAAAATACAAACTGTGAAGCAGGGATCTTTGCCACATTTTTTCACTGATGGTCACCTATGAGATATCAATGAATACCTGCCGAATGCATGGATGGAGAACTTGGAAGTGCTTATTTCTTGACGTTGTGTTTATCTCACAGTGCTGAAGAGACCCGTCACGTCTGAGGAACTCCTTACTCCCGGGGCTCCGTATGCAAGGAAGACATTCACGGTAGGCTGATGCTCTGACTTTTTTCTCCCATTTTTCTGCACCAGGTCCATGTGTCATTGGGTAGCTTATAGACTGAAATGAAAATAACTTTTCTAATTTTCTTTTTGATTTTAGCATAACTATGGTAATAGGCTTTCTTGACCTTAAGGCACTTAAATACATTAGGACTTCACATGCCTTATTATTAATATAGCATTTAAAATGTTTTTGATGTGTTCTTTTTTAAAGAAAAGATTTTGGGCTGGGTGCAGTGGCTCATGCCTGTAATCCCAGCACTTTGGGAGGCTGAGGTGGGCGGATCACCTGAGGTCAGGAGTTCAAGACCAGCCTGACCAATGTGATGAAACCCCATCTCTACAACAAATACAAAAAAATTAGCCAGGCCTGGTGGTGGCATGTGCCTGTAATCCCAGCTACTCAGGAGGCTGACACAGGAGAATGGCTTGAACCTTGGAGGCAGAGGTTGCAGTGAGTAGAGATAGCGCCATTGCACTTCTTCCTGGGCAACAAGAGTGAAACTTCATCAAAGAAAGAAAAGAAAAGAAAAGAAAAGGGGAGAGAAGAGAAGAGAAAAGAAAAGATTTCCATGATGCATTTATTCTAATTTAATTGCAAATTTTAAGATTGGCATCATTTGCACTTCCATTTGCCTTAAAATCTAATAATTTCAGATTTCATTTCCCACCATTAGTAATTTACGTTATTAGATTTTAAGGTAAATGAAGTGCAAATGATATCAGTAATCGCTTCTGCATCATAATTCTAGAAATTATTTAAAACATTAAGGGAGTGTTAAGGTAGAGAAAGGAAACTGTGGGATAAATCGTCTCTTGTAGGCATGGCACTCTGACAATGTGAGCATGCCTTCAGGTACCCAAGCCTCTGACTTGTTGTGAGCGGCTCCGACCGCCTGCCCCTTCTTGGAGGTCCTTTAGGTTCCTTCTGCCTGCATTGGATTTCTTCAAACAGAATGAAAGTGCTCGTCTCAGCATCAGGGCACCCATTCCCCTTGCCATGTCTCCTGTCAATCTCCTCGAATCCAAGTTAACACCTCTTCAAAGCACTTCTCCTCCTCCTTCATCTTCTAACTTTAGTGGCATTGCGAGGCTGGAGGGTGGAATTCTATCCACACTCAGTCATGCTGCGAACATTTGCTGAGGGCTACTTCACATTCTGACTGCTGAGGAGCTAATAGGAGAAGGGCACTGATAACATGTCTGTACCAGGGGAAAAGATAAACTGTACCTTTGGAAGTGAAATTGAGTATAATATACAAATAACAGCAAACTGTAAAGTCATGGAAGTGCCTGAAAATCTGGAGCATTTCCACAAAAATTTTCATTTGCCTCCCTGTTTTTCCTCAGTCTCCAGCATTCAAGAGACAGTAGATTGTATTTTGAAAGTATTTATTTTTGATTTATTATTATTTTTATTATTTTTGAGTTGGAGTTTTGCTCTTGTTGCCTGGGCTGGAGTGCAATGGTGCAATCTTGGTTCACCGTAACCTCCAACTCCTGGGTTCAAGTGATTCTCCTGCCTCAGCCTCCCGAGTAGCTGGGATTACAGGCATGCACCACCACGACCGGCTAATTTTGTATTTTTAGTAGAGATGGGATTTCACCATGTTGGTCAGGCTGGTCTTGAACTCCCAACCTCAGGTGATCCACCCACCTCAGCCTCCCAAAGTGCTGGGATTACAGGTGTGAGCCATCACACCCCACCCCTAATTTTTGATTTAAATGCCAACATTGTTAGTAATTGGTTGTGAGTGTGTTTCGGCTGTGTTTTGGTTGGGCTATGTGTGAAAGACATGGCTAGGAGCTGTCCAGGGAATGAAACTGTCAGCTCTAATAATGATTTCTATAGAAAAGGCCTGCTCTAATTCCAAACAACTTTTGGGTTAGAGTCTAAGTTCATTGTGAACTTTACGTACTTCTTTCATTTAGCCCCCTTGGTGGAGAATATTGTGTTTTAAGAAAGCCAAGTCTAGGCTGGGAGTGGTGGCTCACGCCTGTAATCCCAGCACTTTGAGAGGCTGAGGAGGGTGGATACCTGACCTCAGGGGTTCAAGACCAGCCTGACCATCATGGTAAAACCCTGTCTCTACTAAAAACACACAAAATTAGCCAGGCGTGGTGTTGTGTGCCTGTAATCCAGTTATTTGGGAGGCTGAGGCCAGAGAATCACTTGAGCCCCATGAGGTGGAGGTTGCAGTGAGCTGAGATTGCACCACCGCACTCCAGCCTGGGTGACAGAACGAGACTCTGTCTCAAAAAAAAGAAAGCCAGATCTCTTTATTTCCCACCATTAGTAATTCAAATAATTATGCTAGACTTCAATGACATTGCAGAGTCAAGAGTGTATCATTTGGATATTGGGGAAAAGAACAAACTTAGGGTAGAAATTGTTATATGGAGAGACCTTTCAACCATGTTAAGACTTTTCATAAACCTTCTGCTGGAGTCTGACATTAAATTGTGTAACAGCCTAAGAAAGAGAAAATCTTCCAGTTGTTTACTGAATCATGTCTTCACAGGAGCGTCTTCTTTCTGCCAAACAGGTTTTATATATATATATATATATATATATATATTTACCACATTTTCTGCAGGGAGATGCCCGCATTTGTGATAGAAGCAGTGTTCCAATCCCCTGGCAGGGAAGAAAGAAACGGAAGAAGATATGTCACAGCGCACGCTTAATCCTGGGCTGGTTTTCTCTCTCTCAGAAGAATAAGCAAACTGCCGGAGACAGTCGGCTGCTTGCTAATTGTGGTTTTCCTCTCTAGATTGTTGGTGATGCGGTTGGCTGGGGTTTTGTGGTGCGAGGAAGTAAGCCATGCCACATCCAGGCTGTCGACCCCAGTGGCCCTGCAGCCGCAGCAGGAATGAAGGTACTAATGGTTCTTTCTCACCCTCTTTTATATCTGTCCTGGGTTCTTCATGCCAAGTTGGCCATGATTCTTACCAGAAACCTAAACTCGTCTTATTTTGTGTCCTTTTCTGTTTCTGCCCTCTCTTTCTTGTCCTCCAAAGTCTTTAAGCTTTCCCTGGCTCTTCCCTCGCTTCCAGTGAACATTTGGAAGTGTCTAGTCGGACACAGTGGCTCACACCTGTAATCCCAGCATTTTCAGAGGACAAGGCAGGCAAATCACTTGAGGTCAGGAGTTCAAGACCAGCGTGGCCAACATAGCGAAACCCTGTCTCTACTAGAAATATAAAAATTAGCTGGGTGTGGTGGCGCGCACCTGTAATCCCAGCTACTCAGGAGGCTGAGGCGGGAGAATGGCTTGAACCCGGGAGGCAGAGGTTGCAGTGAGCCAAGGTCGCGACACTGCACTCCAGGCTGGGTGACGAAGAGAGACTCTGTCTCAAAAACAACAACAGCAACAACAACAACAAAAACATTTAGCAGTGTCTAAATACCACTAGCTTAATTTCATTATTTGGTGCCATGTGTAATTTTTCTCCCCAAGTGTTTTGGTTTCATTTTTGTCCAATTTCCTTTACCCTTTCTGAATGGGGTTAAAATGAAGCCAAGCACATATGATAGAGCAGCCAGGAGAGCAATTTCCTACCTCCCTGGTGTTTGGAGGTTTTCTCCAAATCCCCCCTGGTGCTTCACATGTTTCCCCTCAACCAATACTGAGTTTGAAAAATTATATATTTCATTTTCCTTCAATCTTTGTGTAATCACATGGTAAAACCCAGTCTCTACTAAAGATATGAAAAATTAGCCAGGTGTGGTGGCTCACTCCTGTAATCCCAGCTACTTGGGAGATTGAGGCAGGAGAATTGCTTGAACCCGGGAAGCAGAGGTTGCAGTGGGCTGAGATTGTTACACCACTGTACCCCAACCTGGGCATCAGAGCAAGAAAGACTGTCTCAAGAAAAAGAAAAAAGACACATATACAGTCAAGAAAATTTGGAAAATATATACAAGCAGGAAAAAAATTAAAATGACTTCTAATCTTCCCTGACTCAGACTACTGTTAACATTTTTAAAGCAGATTTATTGAAGTATGTAATTGGCATCCTATAAAGTGTGGCCATTAACATTTTGATTTACATTCTTCTAGGCTTCTTGTGTGTATATAGATGTTATGTACATTGTTTTTATTTATACAGAAATACACTATACGAGGCTGTTGAGGTTTTCTGCTTTGAAATACCTTTATAGAGCACAACTTTGTTGTATTGTCTGAAATGTTTCACAAGAGGATATTTGTCTTGATTTTCTGAAACCATAAGAGGATGCAGAAAGCTTAAAAGCTAAAGATCATTTCCCTGTTCATTTATTCAATACTTTCATCCTCTTCCATCAGCTTTTTCCTAGAGTAGCAATAAGCGTGATTGGGATCTCCGCCACTCTGATTTCCAGCATGAACGCTCTGGCATTGGTTTGCATGCTGGAAAAAATAAGTGGGCAACAGAAAATGGCTCAAGGAAGCAAAGAGCACATTTACTGCCTGCCCAGATAATCAGCACTGGTAGGATTAGAGGCTGCCTCTGCCTTTTGATTTGAAGACCTCACTCCTATCAGGGAGGCACAGGCCCCGGGGTCTTGTGCTCTGGGGTAGGCTTGGAAACCCTGCTGGCTAAGGTGGTACCTGGCAGAGCCCTTCTACCTTCCCAGGACTGCAGTGGGCACAGCACCAAAGCAACTTGGAGTAAGAATGTTGGCCAGGATCATAAAAAAAGCAAGCACTTGCATCCATGCTGAGGCTGACTTTTTCATTTTCTAGTGGAACTCTTGGCTGGGGAAGGGTTTTATATTTATTTCCATAATAAAAAGTACCTAGCATAAATTTTTTTTGGCACAAGGCTTCAGTTCTGAGTGTGCACTCATTCACATGATGCTTTGGTGTAAAGTGCATTTCTTTTGAGGAAAGCAATGAAGGTATTTACATCACAACTAAAGACCTTGTTTTGCTTAGCCAAGTATACAGTGAAATTAATTGATTTTAGTTTATCTTTGTTGATGTACATACATAACTATTCTGGGTATCATTAACTGATTAACTCTTTAATGTATATACCCTGATTGATGTTTTACCTGATACGTTTTTTCAATTTCATAAGCTAATACTTCATATGGTTTATATGTTTAGTTTCTTCAGAGGTATACAGTGGTTTTCTTATGTTATAGAGCTTCACAGAGTTCATTAGAGCACTCTTTCCATCAGCTTATTATTACACAGCTCTCTGGTCCAGCAAAACATCTGTTCTGTGGTTCTGTGATCAAAGCAGTTTTAAACTGCCACATACTTCACCCCCATCTTAGAAATTCACAGAGCATATTAGCATGTTAAAAATTCTGACGAATCTGGCAGGAGGAAAAAAGCTGGTTTAAATTGTTTAGCATAACATTTTATCATTTAAGAGAAACATGCAAAGGAATCTTTATCAGTGTTGTTGGTAAGATATAGCCCTAAAAGTCTTCTAAGAAGATGCTTTTGGCCAAACTGCATGGGAATTAGTATAACGTCATGCATCACTTAACAACAGGGCTATGTTCTGTGAAATGGGTTTTAAGGCGATTTTGTCATTGTGTGACCATCATGGAGTGTACTTACACAAACCTAGTGGTACAGCCTACCTGGACAGCGTGTTACTGTGCTAAATACTGCAGGCCATTGTAACACAATGGTATTTGTGTATCTTATTTATTTATTTATTTATTTAATTTTTTATAGAGATGGGGTTTCAACCATCTCAATCTGGGCAGGATGGTCTCAATCTCCTGACCTGTGATCTGCACACCTTGGCCTCCCGAAGTGCTGGGATTACAGGTGTGAGCCGCTGCGCCCAGCCGTGTATCTAAACATAGGAAAAGTAATGAATTGAGCTATAATGTTATGACAACTATGATGTCACTGGGCAATGGGAATCTTTTAGCTCCATTACAATCTTATAAGATGATGAAGGGCTGGGCGCAGTGGCTTATGCCTGTAATTCCAGCACTTTGGGAGGCTGAGGTGGACAGATCACCTGATGTCAGGAGGTCCAGACCTACCTGGCCAACATACCAAAACCCAGCCTCTACTAAAAATAGAAAAATCAGTCGGACATGCTGGTGGGTGCCTGTAGTCCCAGCTACTCAAGAGGCTGAGGCAGGAGAATTGCTTGAACCTGGGAGGCGGAGGTTGCAGTGAGCCAAGATCGTGCCATTGCACTCCAGCCTGGGTATCAAGAGGGAAATCCCATCTCAGAAAACAAAATAAAAAAAAAGAAAGAAAAGATGATGGGACCACCATATATATGCAGTTTGTAGTAGACTGAAACGTCATTATGCAGTGCATGACTATACAGAGATATATATTTTTAGTATTATGGTTTGGTGGTTAAATTAAAACAACAGCAAATACCATGTCTTGCCATAGAGTTTGGCTGTTTATATTTATTTGAAATCATTTTGTATGTTATTTTCTTACCTAAAATACTGAATAAATTATTTCCTATTATACCATTTGTCATAATTTCACTTAAAAACAAGCCATTTGTATGATCTAATCGCAAAGGCTTGTTCCCACCAACCTGACATGACTGCTATCTTCAACTTGGAAAACTGCACAGTTTGGGGTGTGTAGTCCTCAAGAGGGTCCTGGAGTGCCCTGTGGGAAGGATCCACCCACTTGGGCACTGATTCACCTGCTAGGTCTGAGTGGTGGAAATTGTCCAATAGATGCCTCCTTTGGCATCTCTGACTGTCCAGAGCTGACCTAGGGTGGTGTAAAGTACCTCGGTGTCTCTTCCTGCACTGAATGTCGGGTTCTCCCTGTAGTCACGGTTCTCATTTTCTCTGGGTTTTGAATGGGGACAGGGCCTTGTATCTCAGTGTTTGTGGCTACTTCATCCAGTGAGATTGTCATACTTTTGCTATAGCTCCTTTTTTTTTTTTTTTTTTGAGATGGAGTTTCGCTCTTGTTGTCTAGCCGAGAGTGCGGTGGCGTGATCTCAGCTCACTGCAACCTCCACCTCCCAGGTTCAAGTGATTCTCCTGCCTCAGCCTCCCTAGTAGCTGGGATTACAGGCATGTGCCACTATGCCTAGCTAATTTTGTGTATTTTTAGTAGAGATGGGATTTCACCACGTTGGCCAGGTTTGACCCAGCATCTTTGAATCTGGAGTTATTCTTATTTTGAAAGTTCTTTTACTTAAAAAATAAAATCTGCAAACCTCATGCTTGGAGGACTTTTGTTTGGCACTACAATTCTAGAGGGAGCATGAAATATGGAAATCATCAAAAGTTTTGTCAACTCATACAATGCATTTACATCCAGAAGTTGTTTCCTGCATTTTTCCTTTGATGACTTTTCACTCATCCTTGAAGAATTTTATATCCAGGGCTTCTGGTTTTCTTTCAGTGCAAAGGGGAAAGGAGCAAACAAGAGAAGGAACTGTCTCTTCAATGTACTTGACCCTGTACCATGCAAGCCCCTTTCTCTACAGGAGCTCATGTAATGTCAGCATCCAAATACTCATATCCCGGAGGGAGAGATCATTCCAGGAGGAAAAATTCTGTCTCTTATCTCTTTGCTGCCACTTTGAAAGGGAAGCCAGTTCCTTCCTTAAGCTGTTTTTTTTTTTTCTTTTTTTAGACAGTCTCACTCTGTTGCCCAGGCTGGAGTGCAGTGGTGCGATCTTGGCTCACTGCAACCTTTACTTCGCAGGTTCAAGTGATTCTTCTGCTTGAGCCTCCTGAGTAGCTGGGACTACAGGCATGTGCCACCATGCCCCATTTTGCATGTTTAGTAGAGATGGGGTTTCGCTATGTCGGCCAGGCTTGTCTCAAACTCCTGACCTTAAGTGATCTGCCAAAGCCACCACACCAAACCCCCAAGCTATTCTGTACGTTACAGTCCAATGAATATTGTGAAACGTTGGCTTCCTG